GGGCCAATGGGATACACAGAACCAGCATATGGTAACAATGCATTCTGGGGAAAGGGTTTTTCCTTGCCATCACTACAGAGGTTGTTGCTGAAGGGTTGTTGCTGCTTCTCCTCAGCTGGTTCACTGACCTCCACAATTGAACATATGAAGGAAAAGTCATGAAGTTTCAGTAATACAATACAAAAACTTATGGAGATCTAATGCCAAGATCAGCTTCTAAGTGTACAAAATAAATCTTCTTCAATTAAACATAAAGGGGAAAGGAAATGCAGATGGATGTGGTAACCACATATTCTCTGAACAGAGAGAGACATAGTTCTCCCAGGATTTTCCTGGGAAGCTGGGAGAAGCTGTGGGAAACTTAGAGAGAAGAATTCAAACTATTATTGTCTCTCTTTCTGTAACTGTTGTTTATAGATAATGATTCTCCAGAGTGTGCTATTCATAGTTCACCAGTAGTGTGAGAGAAGATTCCTAGAGGCCAATCAGGACTTAGGTGCACCATTGTTCTCTAAGAACTGCAGATTTCTAATAATAAGGTGTCTTTTCATGCCTTCTGATGGTGGAGTCTCTGTATCACCTTTGTCTGTCCCCGATACCCCTTCGGCGATCGATGGATTTACGTTCTCCAAAAGGAAGGTGTCAGGATGCCCTCTGGTAATGGCATTTCCTGTGCCTGTAAACATCTCTGCACAAAAGCCTTCAAACGTGACAAACAGCCCATCTGGCCCGAGCTGGTCACAGCTTCAATTCTCGGGATATAGGATTTCTGGATAAAGAACATTGTTTTCCAGAACTGAATGCCATACTGCTTCATCAGAGCATTGCCACAGACTTGCAGGAAATCCAGAAGCAGCATAGCTGTCAGGTCTGCCAGAGGCTCCAGATTCAGCATCTGCGCCAGCCAGCGCCATCCGTAGCTCAGACCGTGAGGATGTGCCCCTTGCTGGTTGGCATGGGGCCAGCGGAGCTGAATGAGGGCAGCATAGAGACGAATCATTCCTGACATCCTCTTAAGAAAATGATCTTGTTCTTCCACTTCAGAATCATGGACTTCATATCCAAGCATCCTGTGATACTCTTCCATGGAAGTCCCTTCTTTGCGAGCGGGGTAAAATGGCACAGAATATGGGCACTTTTTGTGCAGATGAGCTAAAAAGAGGTCTCCAACTCGAGGGTGTAATTCCCAGATTCCTGAGAGCACCACAGCTATTGGGAAAGCTGACTCATGGTGAAAAGATACTTCTCCTTCCCCATGTCTCACAAACTTCTCTGCCAGTTTGTAACAAACAAACTCCAGTCCCTGTGGATGCTGAGTCACCAACACCGTTTGGCCTTCAGTCTGAACAGGCTTCCCAGAGAGCAGGTTATGGATCTTATTAAACACCTCTCTCAGCTTCCAGCCTGATATGCAGGAGATCTGGCTGACAGGGATTGTAGCAGCTTTCTGCAAGTTTGTTTTTATCTTCTTCACCTCAGCGTTGCCTTTGCAGTTGCCAATTTCACTGAAAGCAGCAAGACATTGCTCAGCAGCATCCTGAAGCTGCTGGTACCACTGCATGATACTTTCTTCTGTTTCTACTTGAAGTCCTTCCTTCCGCTGCTTTCCCCAGCACTGCTGTGCAGGGACAGAAGTCTGCCTCTTCATCTGCTCTCTTTCCTCCAGCTCTTTCTGCTTTTGTTTCTTTTCCTCTTCATCTTGCCTCTTTTTTGCTTCTAGAGCTGCAGTGATTTCCTGCTGCATGCTGGATATCAGTCCTTGCATCTCCTGCAGGGCTCGTTCAGAGCTGGCCACATCTTCTTGAGCCGGGAGCCCTCTCTCGCTGGCGCTGCGGATGAGCTCTGACACCAGCCCACAGATCTGGCTGCCACGACTGCTGTACGCAGACAGGTCGATTCCGGGCAAGTCTTTGTGCCTGCCCCCGCCTGGCCCCCAGCTCAGCATCATCCTGGCCCCAGACCCTCCCCAGCTGGTGCTTCCCCAAGGCCCCTCCAGTCCAGAGGAGGGGAAGGTGCTGCTGGTCAAGAAGGTTGGTGTTGTCCCCTCAGGGATCCCCTCGGGGCGCTACTTCAGCGCCCTGCACACCCCTCTCCATCCAGCAACCCCCCCCTGCCCCCGCCTGGCCCCCAGCTCAGCATCATCCTGGCCCCAGACCCTCCCCAGCTGGTGCTTCCCCAAGGCCCCTCCAGTCCAGAGGAGGGGAAGGTGCTGCTGGTCAAGAAGGTTGGTGTTGTCCCCTCAGGGATCCCCTCGGGGCGCTACTTCAGCGCCCTGCACACCTTGCTGTGTGACACCATTTCGGGCTCGGTGTCCCGCTCCTCCCCGCAGCTCCTGCGGCAGTGGCTGAAGAAGGCTGAGCTGGCAGCAGAGCTGGGAGAGCTGCCCAAATCCCTGCCCAGCCCCAAGAACGGCTCCAAGGCTGCCAGTCCTCAGCAGGCCAGCAACGGCAAGGAGATCTGGCTGGCTTTCCAGGACGTGGCCGCGCTCCTCAGCAAACTGCTCTCCCAGCTGAAGACCTTCACGTCCGCTTGCCCTTTCCCGCACGTGGTCCGGGCGGGAGCCATCTTCATCCCCATCCACGTGGTGAAGGAGAAGCTCTTCCCAAAGCTGCCCGGCAGCTTCGTGGACCAAGTGCTGCAGAAGCACAAGGTGGAGCTGCGTCCCACCACGCTCTCCGAGGAGAAGCACCTGAGGGAGCTGGAGCTGAAGAGCTGCACCTCCCGCATGCTGAAGCTCCTGGCCATCAAGCGGCTTCCCGAAATCTACCCTGACCTGCTCAACCTCCACTGGCACA